AGCTTGGTCATATCTTAATCTAAGTGGTTTTCTTTTGCAAACGTTATGTGTAAGTCAAGCTTTTTCAGTAAGGATTTTTGTCATCCGGCAGTTATCGTCAAATTACTTGAGGCATGCAGCAAAACTCTTCGGCAAGGACTATTTTGGTTATGGTCAATTTTCTTGGCCGAATTTTTTATGTGATTACATTTTTAAAATTTTGAAGTATTTTGTTTATATAATGTTTAATGTTGCAAATATTTTGTATTTGATTTGTGATGCTATAATCTTGCGTATTTAATTTATTATAATGTGTATTATGTATTTTGTCTTCACATCTTTTGTATATAAATTATTGTTCATCTACTGTCTGTGCTTGTATAAATTTTTGGAAAGTTTATTTCTTTGTATTATTTAAAATTTTGGTTACTATAAATTATTACATCGCGAGCATTATTGTTGTAACACCAGAAAATAGAAGATGCTGCTGCTCTTTGGACTGAGAAATAAGCATTGTGAAATTGACGATACATCACTGCTTTTTCAGTAACACAAACATTCCAGATTTCTGCATTGATTTAAATACTGGATATTAATACGTTTGGTATACGTTATGCAATTATATGTCGTGATGCAAAATCCATAAACTCTATGCGACTGGTATTTTGCTCAGTATGATCGAAGAGTTCAAGGTATAATATTAAATAATGCTTAAACTAGAAAGTTTACAAGAGATTAGAATAATTATATGAAGTCGATTGATTTTCATTCGAGTGCTGCAATAAATGCAGATAAATGTCTCATTAAATCTGATCATTGTGAGAGGGTTTCAAGTACTACGATGATTAACGTTAAAGACTGAATGTTGTAAGGATCGTATTTTTGTCACAGAAATGTCATTGGCAAGCTGTTCAAATTTTGAAGGATTCAGAGTTGATGGAAGATATACGAGCTGCTTCGAAAATGACCAAAGGTCAAAAGAACATCTAACAGAATGAGTGGGAAAACTCGAACGAAAAGTTAAAAATGTTACAAACATTGAGTGTTTCGTTCACTTTACTGAAATGTGTCGATTGCAATACAAGCAACTCGAGAAAATAGGACATCTTCAACAGTGAAATATGGTATAACTTACATTAGTAGTACAGATATATAGTAATCGAGCTAGAGTACATCATAACTAAATATGGGGAAATTTCTGATTCATTTTTTACCTCGTGAATATGCATATATACTGAAGTGTTATTTATGGTTTTCATTATGTACCATGAAATTTAAAAAATAGATTCATATCAGGGTTATAAAGCTGTAATACTTAATACGACCGAAACCGTCAAAATTCTTAAGCCCTTCGAAAATCAAAAATTTTGGATTGCAACCTATTGTCCGTTTGGAATGATAGAATAGCTTCACTGGATATTAAACAATTTGAAGTGTGCTAGATGCAGTGACAAGGCTGGTTCTTCAACGAGGTGACTTCACAGTACTTCTGTCAACAACTATTAGATTATACTGTTGTACTGGCTGCTACTGAGTGTTTCTTGGGTACGACTGAATCCGAATTATATGATCCGAGTAGACAGCTATATGCGCAACTTATGTAAGCAATTAGTGAAAAATTCATTAATTTGAAGTATTTAATGCGATAGAGCCAAAAATAGTTTCCCAAAGAGGAAAGAGACTCAGCAATTTACTATCAAAAGGTGAAAACATGAAAATGAGACGCTATGTAAAGTCACCAAAACTGATAGAATAAATTAATATTGTTGAATTTTTGAAGGAATGAACACATACAACAAACACAACCATATTTTCCTCCTTGTTCATATATTTACTACAGACAAGAAGGAAATCTGGTCTGAACTACCAATAGCAGAGAATTTTACAGATGAATTTATCCCACGTTTTATTCTGAGTTTCAGGGATAGTGAAAGTAATTTAAGCCACAATTTCAAAAAACAACTGTAAAAAAATTGAAAAGTAAATGAAGTTCCATATGCCAAAGTACTCCTTGGTAACAGCTTCAAAGATAAACTTATAATGAAATATAGCATACACAAAAATATATAATTACAAACTATGAAATGTAATTGTATTGAAAGAACTTAAGCCGCCATTCAAGGAGCAAGTTCAAAAATGAAATGCACGATTTAACGAAGATATTGTAATAAAAAGACAAAAAAATCATCATAATACTGGATAGGCACAATGTTATAATGCAATAAATTACGAATAAATTATATGGTAATTCAAAATTTTATACTCGTCTTTTTGTACCAAATTAAAATTAAAAAAAATTTAATGTCTAAATAAGCTAATAAGTTTAATATCTAAATTAAATTTAATATCTAAATAAGCTCTTTCTTTTGCATTGCATTTGCTAATTACGATGGTCCTACAATAAAAAAATGATTAAATTTTAGATAATTAATATAAAAATTAATTTTAGTGTATTGAGTAATATTACATTGAATTCGTAAGCAATTTTTTTTGCATAAAAATAAATTCCATATGATCAGTCATTCATGTAAAATTTTTTACTTGAAAGTATATGTCATTTCAAAAATAAAAAATTTCTTTGCTGAATGCATTTATAAAGATATATTATTGTTTATTATGAAAATTTAAATCTTAGCTTGTACTAAAAATATGACGAATATTCAGCAATCATCAAAAAATAAAAAGAATCCAGAAAATAAATTCTTTTGTATAGTTTTGATTCTTTTGGAAAATTAAAGCAGTTTCGATCAAATAAATAAATAAATTTAAGATATAAAAAAGTGTAAGACATAATTTATGTGCGTGTTATATCTATCTCGCATTTAAAAATTTTATGTTTTAAGATAGTTGTAAAAATTTAAATTTACAACTGAAAGTTTTCTGTAACTCATTACTTCTACTTTTATAATTAAAAAACTGTACATGATAATTATTTTTTACAATTTTTTTGCATTCATTCAAATTAACTTCAATTATAAACTAGAGAAACAAATAATTAGAATGACAAATGTTGACTTCACATTTCTTACCATTTTTTTGTTGTAGGAGTAGCACTTTTTGCACAAATTAAATTAATAAGATTTCCAGGCATAAGGCATACTAAAACAGAATCCATTACTAACAACATAGCATCTTCAGTAGCCAACAAAGCATTACGTAGCTGAAGCAAGATGCAACCTTTATTAATCTATACGAAAAAAATTAAAAACTTTTTGCTTCTAAACTAATTTATTTTTCTAAAGTATTAATGAGCTTAATTATTTTTATTCATTTTATTAAATAATATTCTTCCAATAAATAGAAATAATATGATAAAAAGAAAGCACACAAACTGATACTTTTTATTTTCCTAAAATATAAATATAAACTTTTTGCAAATTAGTCTAGTAAAAATTCTTTTCATCTGACATCACTATTCTTAAGTTTTTTGAATAAACATTAAAGATGTAAGCTAACTTAACAATGTATTTTAAAAAAATTAAAGGTTTCAGAAATGAACACATTTTGCACGAACTTACTCACACATTTCATCTTTATCATATTTTGTAAAATGAAATATATGAAAACGAGTTATAACTAATAGTTCCAATGAAAGTAATTATTTTAAAATTATGAAAATTTTTAGTTTCAAAAGAATTTATCACTTCTCACTCACTATTTTAAAATAAAACAACTTTTTTTAATTTAAATAATTTTATACAATTACCTCTGTCATTACAGTTGCAAATAAATAAGACGATGCTATAATGAAGGCAAGTGAGATGAATAAACTAGACACTGGTAATAATGTAAATATTTGATCATCTGTATCTGACATTGTTTGACGGCACTGATACTCATACTGATTCTAAAATATTTACAAATAAAAAAAATAAAATTTTGTTTAAAAGATTAATTTGTTCATTATTGCTTCTTTTGTCATGCAATGTGAATATACATTTCTTCATAATAGCAATGATATAATTGAAAAAAATGATCATTTTTTTCAATATATTCATATTTCTAGATTAAAGTTAAGAAAATTAAGGTTGACATTGATTATTTATATACTTTTAACAATAAAAGTTAAAGAACTGTAGAAATTAACTAAACTTTTATTATTGAATTAATATTATAGGATATTCAAAATGTTATGGCGCATTATTTTCCACATTTTTTAAGATTATAGTATGATAATTTTTATCACTACTTAATAAAAAATGTATAATCTGTAGAAAATTTTGAGAATGAAACTAACATTTTGCTCATTTTCAAGATTTATTAAAAATTTTCGAAAAGTTTCACAAAATTAATTTATTATTTTCTGTAATTATAAAACTTTAGCATGTTTAAAAAGGAATAAATACTTTATATGCATTAATAAATGAAGAGATGTGAATAGTTACCTGAATATAATATTGTTTTTAAAGTATGTTTTTAAAAATTAATGAAACTAACTATTGGTGGAATAATTATGGATTGATTAGATTGCGATGTATCGTTTGTAAAATTTTCAGATGGAACATCTGGCCATATTTCTGTTTTACTATCATTTGATAGCATTAACCAAATTTCATCTGCCATATTTTGTTGCAAAACGTACTGTCTAGATTGGTATTGAACTAAATTAGATAAAGTATGCTTTAATGCAGCATTGTTTATTTTACTTCCAAATATGTAACTCATCGATAAGATCAATCTAGAATATAGTTCCATTATTTTTTAAATCAACCGTATACTCTCTTTACTAATTCATAAATGCCATATTAAAAATTATCTGCTGCATATTTATATTTTCAAGCTGCATAATTGCGTGATTGTAAACATATAATTTCAAAATTCTTCACATATTATAAATTCATATCTTTAAAATTATTTGCAACAATAATGCAACTTTTTAAATCTCATTTTTCATTTTTTCAACATTGTTTCTATATTCTGTAATCTCGCATATTATTGCAAGCTTAAAATTATTAAAATATTCTAAATGAAACAAAATTAAGCGTAAAACAACATTGCAAACAGGTTTTGAAAAGTTACCAAAGTTAAAATTCAGAAAAGTATCAGCTTGCCAAAGAAAATTTCATTCAGGATTATGTTTTGATAGCAGGTTCACATGCAGATTGGCGTATGCCTAGTTTGATTTAACATTTTTTTGCATACTTTTTTTGTTGATACTTTTTATACCAATTTCGGTTGATCAAAAACACTAATTTGATGATTCAAAAAAATAGACAGATCATGACTACTGTAAGATAATTTAATTTTTTTAATTTATAACGAAATGCAATTGTTTTACAATTTACCTCTTTTAATTTTTTAATAGCATAAAAACTTGTAAGGTTCGTGCTTTTTCAATTACCTTTTTGTAATAAATCCAATTATTCAATTTTTAAAGTTTTTTTTTGTTTAAGTAAAAAGTAAAACAATACATCTTACTTGAATACTTGCAGGAAAACTTTGTAAAAATTGTATTTTTAGATAATTCCATCTTAAATAATCTATTCAAAAATTTACTTCTAAGGGCAAACTTTCATTTAAAAAATTAAAAGTGAAAAATGTCAGTAATTAAAGTTTAACTAACTCTTATGTATGTAACATAAATTGCTAGAAAAGGTTCCTTGATATTTAAATTGAAACTTAAATATATTAACTACTATTAAAACTCTTAAAATACAGCCCTTATTATTTGAATATTTTTGTTATTTATCATGCATATATTTACTAGTTTTCAAAAATGACAAATTATTGGTAAAATATAACATTATTTTTCAAGTATTTATTTTCGCTCACACTCATATCATATTTTTGTGTAATTTGTGATCCTAACGTAAATTGATTTGACCTAAGAAATGTGCTAATTTTCGCTGAGCATTTTTACATATTTGTTTCTTTTAGAAAATTTAGAAGGATGGAAACATTAAGGCTGGAAAATTTTTAGAAATCAACTTTTGTTCACTTCTCCACTTTATTGTAATTAATATCGTGGCTGATAATAAGTATTATTACTTAATAATCATTATTAAAACTAGTAAGATTGAACGAAGGAAGTTATTTTAAGAGTTATATATGTATAATTTCAATAATTTTGGGAAATTGACATTTAAAAGTATTTAATAGACATTTCTTACAAAATTGCTT